TTCAAAGCATTTTTATATGATGTCCTCACGCTGGCAATGTGCTTGCTAAGCCGAAGAGTTGTGCGGCACCCTGTTTTCGCCCACAACATGCAAGCAAACGGGAGATGCTGAACGGCAAGAACAGCGTAGGCCCAGGAATCTTAGCGGAAGCCTCGATCCTGTGTATCACTCCGTGATTTGTGATTCGCAAGAGGGGTTGTGTGTTGCACTCACAACATAACTTCAGGGCTAAAATTAACTCACTTCCAAAACTAAGAAGCTAATGTTGTTTTCGGAAAAGATCGCTAGGTTATACGGAGGGAGACCAGGCGTTTTCGGTGTGATTTTTGCCCTACCGGTTTATTTTTCACATACTTGAGATTTAAATGAATTTGTTTGGAGCTAGAAAGCAGGGCGGAGTTCGGCTTTTCTGGAAACTGAAGAATATTCATATTTTCTATCTGGGACACCTCGAAGACCTCTTTGTGGGTGAATCACCGAATAGCTGACTCATTCTTTCCCGTACTGAGCCCGTCCAAGGTCACAGTGATGGTTAGGAAGGCCTTTAGCCAATCAGGACGCTGAGTCTTCCACTTTTCGCCTTCCCCGACAGTTGGGTCCGTTGCTGACTTTGATGGATGTTTTGGACTTTTCCTGGTTCAGCGTATTGTTTTCAAATGCAACACGAACAGTGAGGGACGTCGGATGAGCAGGGATGTCAGCTGTGGATTATGTTCATACTCGACCAACTGTGAGTTTCGTTCCGCCGGGTTGCTAGTTTTATGCAAGGACTATAGGCCATTACATTAATTTTTGCGATGGATTTTGGGTGCGTCATCACTGAGTTCGCGGCGATCTTTGGGGCCGGATTAATTTTAGAGTAACTTCCGATAACTTACAGAGGTACGAAGCTAGCTAATAACAGTTTAGTGCTTTGCACCTGTTGTTTTCCCATCGGCTTAGATTCAGGAATCTTTCTGAACTCATTTGAGTCACCCGGGATAGTAAATTATCACCTGGAAACAGGAGGACTTCGTCCAACTCATACAGTTTAATTTGCTGAATACACTTGTGTCCAGACTGGCTTTTGTTTGATGGGTTGGTTTAGCAGTGTGTATTCGCGCCAAAATACTATTCAAGGCTCCCATTTTAGCCCGTTCAGTTCATTCCCTGGTCACTTCGGCAACTGGGCCTACGTGTGCCGCAACGTTTACATTATGTGTCGGTCCCAAAGTGCCAGTCGGTAGGGAACTTTGGAGGGCGAGTGTATGCCAAGATATTCTTTGTGCCACCGGTATTCCTTGCACCCTCTGGCTACTTACTGTTCAACATTGTCAACTTGTAATGTCCACGCAAAAGAGGGTGGTTATTAAAGCCATTTACCAGTCCCCGCACGAAACCCTTCTAGGCGTATCAGGATCTCTTTTTGCTTTCATGTCGAAATGTGGGAAGAAACGTGAGGTGCTGAATATCCACGTTACATACTAGGTATGTGTCCTTTTCCCCGAGATGCTGTCAACGATGCTGAAGACTGTCCCAAACTTATTAGGACAAACTGAACACATGATTCCCATTTGCTGGCGTGTCTGTGTTGGGCGTGCAAGGTCAGCGTATGGCACCAGCCAAACTTATATTTGTCCAAAATACTAGGAATAACAAATCGTATCAGACGATTCCCGCCACAGTTGCCGCGTGTATTGGCACGAGTGACCGAAAACCGTTGAAAAATAGGCACGAAATGGTCACTGGTCACTTGATACAACCTGTCACCAACTCAGGGAATTTTAGACAAATGTACGCCGCAAGAGCTGCTTTCAATAGCTCAAGCCAACGGACGGAGTCTTCGACACGAGGAGAGTGTTGTGTTTGCCAATGTTCGCGTGACGGAAAATCCTGTAAAATCACGACCCACTGCATTTGGTGAATTTGATGCTTGTTCACCTCAGTCGTATGCTCTCGCCGCAGCCATGTTTAGAGATAAACACTTAGAACTGTTCTTCTGTGCACATCGCGACAGCAGCGGCCAGGCCAGGAAAACAAATAGGTTCGGTTTAGGCAACTCCGTACATTTTCTGTTACGAAGTATGACTATCAAACGTGGGTATTTTAGGATGCGCCCGAACCATCTAGATCACACATGCCAGATAAGATAGATAGGGAGTGCTGCAGCAGAAAACACGACTGGATATTGGATCGCTTTGGAAAAATTGAGTCTCCGTCCTCATGTGAGCACAACCAGTGAACCTTAGTGGGTGCTGGTTTTGTCGAAGGAAACAGGGCCAAATAACATCCCTAAGACCTGTTCAATTGAGAGAGAAAAAATAGACACAGTAGTGAAGTCGTTCAGTTGAAGCGCCCTTCGGTGCCTAGCTGCCGTGCCAACGAAAGGAGGCACGAGGAATGGGATACTGTCAGGTTGCCCAAGCCTAGACAGGAGCAGTCGGGATGGTGAGGTCGTGTCCGAACCATGGTCCTTCTGGTCCTTAAGCTGGTACCTCAACCACTGAACTGTCTCGAAGCCGATTAGTTGTATGTGTTCTACTCTGACGGGTATAATCCCCTGCCACAGACGGGAAGCCATAATCAACGTCGATATGTTCATAATGTCATCCTGCTGCCCAACAAAATAAACCGAAATGATCCAGTTTTCAACCTCAGAGATCTTATTCACTCTGCAGCCTTCAATGTCCATACTCTATATCAAATTGGGCAACAGGCATATCTAGCTTGGACCTTGCTTCCCCCCTGTCGACATCTTCAAAACATGAATATAGGATTCGATTTTGATCTTGCGCCCCAAGCGGCTCAGGGCGAGCTCATGTCTTCCACATTCCACTCTGGCTGTCTGGGGATCCCGTCACCATGGCTCTTGGTGCTCATGGTGTGGGAGTTACACTTGGCCTCAAGGTTGAAAGCGCCCCTAGACTGGATTCCAGCAAACAGTTGCACTGTTAGTTTGTTTGAATCAGTATCCGTGCCTCGACGTGGCAAACGTTGTTTGTTTAATGTGTCAGGGTAGGCTCCGGCGCTGAGAAGGATTGCTTGTGTCGAGATCGGTCATGGTTGCTTCGGTCAGCAAGAAGTAAAGGTATGGTGGTTGGCAGGTGATATGAATACCTAAGTCGGCTGACTAAGTCCTGAGGAGGTTCATTTTGGCAGGCGATCCAGAGTTTGTTCTCGCCGCATGGATAATGAAGAGCGGCTTTCTAATGTATGTACTGAACATCATTTATTTCCAGCCAGTACAAAATCAACGCAAGTGCTCACATCATATGAACTGGAGGCAAACTGCAAACTAGCCGTTGACTCGCCTGGCCCATTTGCCAATTGGCTACCACTGGATAGCTTCGATACAAGATTGTCTTTCATTTCGGAGCACACCACCTGCCCTACAGCAATGTGTGGGCATTCGTATATTTTCGCTTCTCTGGAATACTTCGATTGATGTACTTCATTACCTGAGTGTCTCCGTAGTTAGCTGAGAAGCTCCCGGAACTGGATGGGCACAATGGTGATTTGGATGACAATCGGAGAAAGATGAAAGCGACCGTGATCACAACCTTTGGAACTGTCTGCCTGTGGTCCCACGTACGCTCAAGTGAACACTAGATGTCGTCACGGTATCAGCTCTGATGGAAGCTAGGATTAAGACACTAGCCATAAGCTGCTGTGGTGGCGCGCGCAGATCCCTCAAACTCCGAATAATGAAGAGTCTAAGGATTAACAAGGAGGGCTGTTGAAATGAAGAAAGCCCCCCTATTGGAATAATCTCATCCT